TAGCGTACCGACTCCTCGAAACCACGGTTGGACATTTATGCATGTGTCGGCATTTCGGACCTCGCAACCAAGCTCTTCGCGGGCAGCTGAGGTACCGTCAATAGGCGCTAGCTGCTGGTACGACTCACCCCCGTATTCACAAACGCTCCTCGACTCGACTTGCACCCTTCACTTGACAGAGTTGAGCACTGCGCCGCCGCTCGGCTGAAAATGGCGCTGCGCTACTCAAGAATCGCAGCAGATTATCGCTGACGTGCAGTGACTTGTCGAAACTAGAGAGGGCGCTCCCACCGGCTTTCTCAAGTGAAGGTGGAGCGTTGAGTGAAGAGACGTTCTTGAATACGGGGGTATAAGACTCACGTGCAGCCGTGTTTGGTAATGCAGCGATATGACATGAAATTACATTAAAGTAAGAAGAAAACAACTTGGGCTAACAGTGAGCTAAGCTAGTTGGCAGGTGCGTGCAAACGCGGACACAAGAAGGTATAGTCAGGACATCACAGACATATATACTAACAAATCATGCAGAAGCGCACTAATGCGGGGAAAAAAAAGAAGACACTAAAACACCTGCGCATCCATGGCCACGCAATTATGCGCACTTATCACTTTGGCACGCGTGGAGTTCTAGGTGAAAGATAGTGGCTGAGGCTTTTGATTTCATCTTTATGTAAGTTAATCGACGTATAGGCTCACGCATGCGCTATACTCAATCATCAGAGGCGTTGCTACATTTCTATGCCAGTACGAAACTGCTCGTTCATCGAATGTCGGCGAGCGCACTCTCGGCAATGTAAAGAAAGATTAGAGCCTCCGGTTAGTGATCTGTTGTGTTCCAAAATTCTCTGGTTAATGCAGCGGCCCGGCCGTCCTATACGTAAAAGCGGCACCATACGGCTTTTTGCAACCATGCATCGACGCGACCTGCTAAGAGGAATTGTGCCATGTATACTGTCCGTGGCATCTTGGAGTCAAGCCAGATCCTGTCAGCAATGCCTCAAGGTTTTTTTTTTTTTGCTTTACTCCACGTGACAACCACCGCCAGAAGCAGCTGTACGTTTACTGGACGAGGGTAACTAAACAGCATGCGGAATTCCTATGGGGGGTAAAACTTCGAGAACTTCAACCATCTAAGAAGTTTCAGCAAATAAATGTGCTAGTCTTTGGAACTGTCCTAAACAATGGTTAATGCTGAAGGTTAGCCTTAGGCCCAAAATACTGTTTGAAGGTGGACATCAACCCAATAGACGTTTTAGGTTTGCCACTTACTATCCCTACACTATATAGTTCCAGAGGAAGAACACTCGCATGCACTATGTTTCACACTGCGCTGCTAGTATTGACGGATTCAATATGCTTCTGAAATGTCCTGATCCTATCCGATCTTTGGTTGATTATTGTGTGCAGAACAAACTCAGGCCAGCAATTTCAGACAAATAAGGATAGTTTGTAATTATGTCATACAGAGTGTTCTAAGAAAAATAAAACCTTAAACCGTCATAAAAAGGAATTTTAGGACGGTGACACCTTAACCATCAGTATAGGCAACGTACTGTCGACCTTTTTTTTACAACATAATCCTGAGAGTGGCTCGCAACGTAAAGTAGGCTCAATCACTTACTTTGGATTTTTTTTAGCGAAAACGCATAAGAACGTACAAGCCACCACAGCTTAAAGGGACCTTATATACTACATTTGCACGGCAATCTGTAGGCAGGCTCCTAGCCGGCGCAAGGGGGGGGGGGGGGGTTACATAGCTCCCGGACCCACTGCCATAGCACCCCCTGGATGGAGAAGGTGTTTCACCGAAAACAAGTAATCAATACAGTAGTGGTTTTGCGAATATTGACATTCCATCTCGAATCAAATAGGACGGAATAGGGGCCAAAATATCGAATATCGAATCGAATATCGTATTTCTCAAAAAATCTCTTGAATTTCTCGAGATTTCTCGAAAATGAAATTAAATAACAAAGAAGTGAAACCTGGTTATGTCCTCGAGCACATAACGTGGCAAGTGACTGCTGCCGAAAGACTACAAATCGTCACGCAGATGCTCAGGTTGTTCCACATGACCTGGCATCAGGTTCTCACCGGGGTACGGTGTTTCCTGCGGTAGAAATCTTGAGCGCAACTTAAACAACCTCTGACACCGAATTGGGAACCCCGAGATGCCTGGGTTGTTTGAGAGTCCTGCATGCAGGGGCACTTCTGACCGATTATTAGTAACGAGTGTTACCTATTCCAACTTAAGTTTGAATTACGGGGGAGTGATCATGCGAGTATTCGCGGGTTGACATTTCCAGATGTTTTGTGGTTTCACGTAGACAGGGGCCGCCAAGTGACGGTGCAGGGGTCAAGCAAGTATTATTGTCGACGTCAGATAACATATATTGCCCTCTGCAGGGCGTTATTTTCTCATGGTATTTAGGCGGGCGTTTCGAACTGATGAAAAATCGTTCCAAGTTAATGATGCTACCATTAATTTTATATATATGTATATACAATGCATTAGAGCCTTTCCGATTCACTTTCGACACTAGCAGACGCGAACTACAAACTACTCTAAATAAAATAAAAAGTCGCAAACAAATATTTCGTTGTTGGGGTTACTTTAATAGCAGAGATAAGAAGATATAGCAAAGAAATTATTGCGGTACCTCAATAAAGTGAAGCTCCATATGCTCTCGCCAGTATTTTAAATGACCGTCCTATTCTTGGGATCATTGAATAATGTTTGAATCTATCGACTACAAGTAAGTTCGGTGTTCAATGTGCTGGTTTATATATATATATATATATATATATATATATATATATATATATATATATATATATATATATATATATATATATATATATATATATATATATATATATATATATATATATATATATATATATACACGTTTTTGAACCACGTCCCCACCTTAACCAAATTGCACCATTGGCCTCTGTCATGTTTTAAATTTTTGTATCAATCGAAATTTCGAATACTATCTATGTGAAAGTCGAATCGAATTAATAAATTAGGTATTCGATTTTATTTAGAAACTGAAAACATTTTCGAACCTCCCCCCCCCTCCCGGCTTCTGTGCTTTTATCACATAATCAGTCTTCAGCAACACCCCACCCCCACCCCACCCCGCCTCCTTTTGCGAAAAATATTCCTGGCTACGGAAATGCTGCTATCACCATAAACGTGCGCAGGGCTCCCCCTGCTACTCCCCCCCCCCCCTACATATCATGTCAGTGTATGGGGCTGACTTTGCGCCGTCTCCCTCTGCCCTTCCCCCCGTGCTATGGCCATGGCTGGTGCGTTTAGTGTGTAACGGTTTCGCTGCCCTCCAAACATGCCGGGCAGCCATCCTAAACCCAGAGTGCATAGTAGTCGTCTACGATATTTCCTGTGCAGCAAGCTTACCTTTTTTTTCTCCGGATAATGGAACAGTAAGTAATGGTAATTAATATTCGAAGATATTCGGTTCAGCTTGAACTCAAATTTTATCATTTGAAGTAAAAACCATTCGCAAACCCCCTACCCGCTCGTTGAAAATAGACTGAGTGCCCTCCACGGCGAGTCATCATAATCACATCATGGTTTTCGCACGGAAAGTCCCGGAATATATTTTGATTTACGACTCTGCTTCTTCACTGACTGTCTGCAAACACACACACACACACACACACACACACACACACACACACACACACACACACACACACACACACACACACACATACACACACACACACACACACACACACACACATCAATATACAAACGGGACTGCAGGGTGGTGGCGCCATCATTTGAAGTGCGATGTCAACGCGCCAGACAATGCTACAGCCTCTGAGATGTAAGACACTGTACAACATTTCGAAGAAAATGAACTGCAATTCTGTGGTTCCTCCACAGCCATGATCATCATCGTACACAGCAGTGCTTCAAGTCACCTTTTCTTCCTCCGTGCTCCGTGGTTTCAAATACTCTACGTCAGGCACAGCATGGAAGAAGGAATAGAAGCGCAGCCGCAAATCTCCACTAGGTTTGGCACAGCTGTGGCATCGTAAACTAGTAGCATGGCGCATATTTCGCTTTAAATTGCGAATGCCGGCGGGTGATATTTGAAAAGCGAAAGTAAACTGTCCGCTTTCGGTAGCGCACATTGAAACTTAAGAAAATTTAAGACTATATTTATCTGTAAAACTTTATATGTTACTAGTTGCTGTTGTTTAACAGTACGCTACGTTGGGCCAGTTGGTGCATCTTTATTTGAAAGACGTGACTCAAAGTTAAAAACGAGAAAACCGAGACGAGGCAGCAAGAACGCCGATGAGACAGAAAGGTGTTATTTCTGTCTCATTCGCACTAGTTCTTTTCGTTTCTAACCTTGCGGCACGTCTTTCGAGCAGTACGTGTTACTGTTATGCATGGATGCACTAGATTCGCCTCTTTATTTTATGGTATAGTGTATTCGTATCCTGTTTATGCCGGCACCAGAATGTAAATTTTTTAAATTTTTGTCTATCAAACTAGCTCATCCTGCGAAAATCCCATTTCAGGATGGCTGTATATGTGAAAAAAAAAAAAAAAAACGTAATTATTAAATGTCAGTTTACGTACCATTCGTGCGTATGAATTGTTGCACCTTTCCTTTTTCACGCATGGCCTCGCCAGCACTTTTTCGAAACTTCACCACTTCACTGTGTACCACGGAGGAAGGAAAATCCTCCGTGCTGTGTACCATCAGTCAGACAAAATGGCGCTCGCCCGTTTTGCTGTCGTCTGCTAGCAAAACTCACACTTAAAGCTTAAACAACAAATTAGATCTAATATTAGACATTCTTAGTTATTTTTAGTTTGAATCATAAAGCTCGCTGAAACTGCAGTTGTGCAGGAAATGAAAGTCATTTGAGACCAAATGAGTTGCGTCACCAATGACGCATATACTAACGCTAGCCGCTCGTAGCCGCTTCAAAGCCATTCGCATCCCGAGTGTTTGGGGGCCGATAATGGCGTTGTTCGGGTGCTGTCCGTAGATTTCGTCAGCTGTTAATTCGGAACATAAGGCTAAATAGACATGTCAGCATGCACTAATTGAGAAGCCTGGTCAGTTGTACTTACGGATTCTAATAAAAAGGTGAGTAGTGCGTTCTGTTAACTGCTTTTCCATTTTTAAGTATACGTAGTTTCGAAATTCGCATTTATCGTAGCTGCTGTCAACGGGGCGTATCGTTGAAGTAACTGTGTTCGATTCCCTCTATAATACTGCTTTTCAACCTTATCAACAGCCTGACTTCCTAAAGTGGCCCCTTATAGCATATTTTCATACTGAAATGGTACCATGTGGGCTTGGTTGCTCGCCAAGGTAGCACCCTGCTCTGTGACGACAATCTTGGCGAGTGTCACCCGGGGCAGACTTAAGAAGAAACAGAAGAAAAAAAAGTTTTCTATGCACCGTCGAGCTCGCGTGGAGGGCATATCGACGTGCCCCGTGTTGCTGCCTGATGTAATCTGATATCCAATTAGGCAGGTTGTCGTTGGCGTCGCTTTTTTTTAAAGCCTTCTGCAGGTTTCTTCGCTTCTGTCCGTTACTTTGCGTTTCTTGCCATGCGCTGTGCAACTGCGCGCAGCCGAGTGGCAACCGTTCTCCGTTATTCGTCGCAGGCCATGGGTGCGCCGGCCTTTATGAAGGAATTCCGCGAGTTCATGAACTTCAACAGCGACGGAGGCCTGTTCGGCGGCAGCACCCAGTCCCGGCTCGGCAGCTGCGATAGCTGCCTGACCAAGTTCGGGCTGCTCAAGCGGCGCCACGCGTGTGACCAGTGCGGCACCGACTTCTGCGCAGCGTGCGTGCGTGGCCGGCGCTGCCCGCGATGCCGGGCCCTGGCAGGTGGCCGGCCCGCACTGCTCGCCCTGCGACCGCGGGACCTGCGTGCTCTCCTGCGCGCCCGTGGCTTAGCGCCACCGCTGGGGGCTCGCGAGAAGGTCGAGCTCGTCGATTTGCTTTTGCTGGAGTCCACTCCCCGTCCAGTAAGCTGCCTTATTACTCGGGCTAATTGCTATGGATTCGTAGCGAATCTTTGGCCGTGCAACGCTTGTTTGCACGGCCACACAAGCACGCTCGATTGTCTCAGCCAACTATACTATTGATTGATATGTGGGGTTTAACGTCCCAAAACCACCATATGATTATGAGAGACGCCGTAGTGGAGGGCTCCGCAAATTTCGACCACCTGGGGTTCTTTAACGTGCACCCAAATCTGAGCATACGGGCCTACAACATTCCCGCCTCCATCGAAAATGCAGCTACTGCAGCCGGGATTTGATCCCGCGACTTGCGGGTCAGCAGCCGAGTACCTTAGCCACTAGACCACCGCGGTCAACTGCCAGCCAACTATACTATTACTCATGGACAACTCTATTGGCAACGAAGTGAAACTGCAGAGGTGGAGCTTTTACACATACAGTGCCATGCGTAGTTGTCAGTGGTGGTGTGCTTCCCACCGCTGTGGAAAGTAATGGCTGTGTGTTAGCAGCATTTCATTTCAATGCAGACACCACTTGGCGCTTCAGGTTCATGTAAAAGGCGCGACTTATGGAGGCGGTAATGTTGTAGGCTCGTGTGCTCAGATTTGGGTGAGCGTTAAAGAACCCCAGGTGGTCGAAGATTTCCACAGCCCTCGACTACGGCATCTCTAACATAATTGTATGGTGGTTTTGGGCACGTTAAACCCCACATATCAATCAAATCAAAACGCGCGGACTTTGAAATGTCTGCAAAAGTGCAAATTGAAAATGTTACAAAAATAAAACAAATACAAGTATCTTACTGGTACTGCATCCTCTCAAAGAAACACATGTACAAAATATTACCGCTGACAATGCAAAGAACAAAGTCTTACCTTAAAGTGAATGCGTTGGTGTGAAATAATTTACCATGGATGATACATACCTGTTGCAGATTGTAGTGTGACATTTGTTTGAATGCTGTGTCGGGCCCTGCCCCTGTTTGCAGCTGCACTAACTGCCCCTGAACATGAGCCAGGAATTGCATTCCTTTGACTGTTGCTACAGTTACTTGCAGGGTAAATTTCACTATTGTTGGTCACTGGCAGCCTAAAGAGGGTATGCACTGAGCCTTGTTCCGCAAGAGGGGAACACCATCGCCGCACCATTTTAAAGGTCTGTTCGTACGTGCCGTCCTGCTGTCCATGTTTCGGCGTGCAGAAAGCGTTCAGTGGTCTCTAAGCATCCAAGTTGCTGTGCAGATTTTGAACACAGTGTGTGCTACGAATTTTATGTGCATGCGGAGAGCATGCGTACCTTCAAAATAGCGATCCTCGTGGATCACTTTGCATACTACCTATACGTGTATTATGCACAGCCGAATACAAGTAACAAAGTCGTGTTTACCAACAACTGTTATGTTTTCTTTTAGGCCATGTGACTTTCAAACTCGACACTTCATGTTACACTGGTGAGATAGTGCAGGCATCGTCCTATAAAAGTCCTGTAAAGAGGTACAGACGTACTGTTTTTTTTAACCTTCATAAAATAGCTTACTAAATTAGGCAGAAGGCCACAGCGAGCTTGTCTTGCAGTTATCACAGTGCTACGAGCTGCACAGATGCTTCAATTGAAAAAGTATTTTTGTACCCCTCCCCTGGAGCCTGACCAGTCATTTTCGCCTGAACAAGGGCATAATCTTGCCTATGTGCAATATTGCATAGCACTGACTTCTTTGACTCGTTCTTTTCACTATGAAACGGCAGCTTGAACCTGCGGTGGAGTTTTGGCCGAACAATTTCATTTTCTTGTATTGCATTCTGCCACAGTGGTAAAGCCCGGAGACTACAGGGGCAAGCTTTATCACGAGAATAAAAGCCTCCAAGATGGCCATGGCATATTTGTTTACCTCATCAGTTCAGCATGGCTGTCGTGCTGTTCTGACATGAACTCCATGTAGAGGAAGGCTTGGTTGATTGTTGGCTGCAGGCCGATGTCATGACTGCTGACATCATATTACGTTGGCCATGTGGGTGTAGTCACAATAAAGAGTTAAACCTTATTGCAATTTCTTTATTGCAACACCTATTCACAAAATTTTTGCGAAAGTAGTTCAACATTTACAAATGTGCAGTCACCTCGCCAATCACAAATTTCGCACCGCGAGGGTGTTTGGCCTTTTATAAACCATTTGCTTATGTCCTGGCTACTGGTCAGTTGCCATACTTTCTTCATGCCATGCTAACGTTGACTAAGATGTATGTGAGCTCAGTGAATCTTCAGAGGGCAAATGAACATTTATAAGGTTAGAGGCTTGAGGGATCTATACCTTGTTCTTCATTTTGCCATGAAGCAGGGCATCTGGAGTATTGTGGTATGATATGCAGCAATTTTTCTTGTGCTGCAGTAGCCCACAGGCAATCGCAGCATGCTGCTTGCTAGGCTCAGGCTTGCAGGTTTGATGCTAGCTGCATTGCCTATATTCCGATTCATGTGAACTGTAACAATGTTTTGTTCATTTATTCATGCATACTTAGTTTAGGTGCGCATTGAAGAACATTGGTAGGCAAAACTAACTTTGTGTCTTCCATCGCAGCCTGCCTCATAAGTAGGTGAATGTTGTACAACCCAGAATTTATGTATTTGCTTTCAGTGATTTTAACTTCAGACAGCACAGAATTTCAGTGATGTGACTGCACTTTGCCTGATTATGTTGGGCCGCTTGTGATTACGTACAGCTGACTCGTAAAAGTCCATGCTGAGTGCAATGCTGGATGTCTCGGCCTGTAGAGGCATTGCCTCGCATGCCATGTGGAGTAGCTAGGCAATGTCTCGCAGCCTAGGCCAGGATGGACAAGCTTGCGTTCATTTTAGATTGTCTTTGGTTTGCATACCTTATTGCAATCTCATTGTTCGCTCAGTTGTTGGCCGTTCAGAAGTGTGCCAAGTTCGGCTACCACTGATTCAATCTGCAGGGATGCCTCCACAGGGATCAAGGGTGGGTCAACCAGAATGGCCAGGGCGGTCAGCTTGGACAGAGCACGTAGAAAGCCACGGTATCCAGAACGACCTGAGCAGCGAGACTCTCCAGAGCGAGCGGAAAGGCAAGGAGAGCGAGTGGAAATACCAGTACAGCCAGGGCCTACAGCCTATGCTCCACCACCCCAATGGGGTGGGCCATTTCCTGGCATGTCCTCCGAAGTATGCTCCCATTTCAAACTGCAGCATGCATTGTGATTGTCTGTAGCGCTCACTATTGCCTACGTGTTTTTTTTTTGTTCATCTTTTTATGTCAATCCCTCCTAAATCTATGACTGGAATACCAAATAACATACCGTATGTACTCGTGTAAGGGCCGCACCCAAACCTTGAAAGCGGAAACTTCAAAAAAAAAAAAAATTAGTTCAAAAAGTCCCCCCAGAAAAGTGTAGTTAGTTTATTTACAGTCTGATGGCGCTGCAAGCATCTCTGCTTTTACTTTACTTCCGCCGACACGCCGACCACATAGTTGACAGCACGCCACCATATTTGCCTTGTGCGTTGACATCGTTCCTAGCATCGTGTCGATACGTTGGCAGCGCAACTTCAAATCAGTGTTGTCGGTGTCACTTTGTTAGTAGTAGTGAGCCCTGCGGAAGCCAGCGCTCGTGACAGACGATGGGCCGGCATCCGAGATCATTCACTGCAGCGTTTAAACTGCAAGTGATTGACTATGCCGAGGAGCACAACAAGCGGGAAGCTGAACGAAAGTACGACGTCAATGAGAAGTGCATGCGTTACTGGATGAAGCAAAAATATGCCCTCGCCGCTACTAACAGGAGCTGAAAGGCGTTTCTCGGGAAGAAGTGCAAGTATCTGCAACTCGAAAGCGAGCTCCTCAACTACGTCGTCGACACACAAAGGACGGATACGCCGTATCGACCGACATGATACGCGTCAAAGCCCTCAACATCGCTTGCCATATGGAAATACCCCAGGTGCAATTGAAGGCAAGTCAGGGCTGGGCTACGCTGTTTATGAACCGTAACCAGCTTTCTATTCGGCGCCAAACGGCGATTTGCCAGAAACTGCCACGCGAGTACGAAGATCATGTCATGAAGTTCCATTGCTTTGTGAATGCTCTAAGGAGGGAGCATAAATACGACCTGTCTCAAATTGGGAATGTGGACCAGACACCTTTGTGGTTTGGATGCACCAGAAAGCACCACATTGAATTTGAAAGGTGCGAAAAGTGTGTCTGTGTGCACAACCAGTGCAGAGGGTCAAAGGTGCACTGTGATAGTTGTGCATCACGGCAGACAGCGGGAAGCTTCCGCCGTACGTCATATTAAGAGGAAGACTCTCCCAGAAGAGAAGTTTCCTCAGGGAATCAGTCGTATGTGCTCAAGAGAAGGGCTGCATGTCCGAGGAACTGGTCGTTAGGGCAAACACTGTCTGGGCAAACAAATCTGGAGTGCTGTTCTAACGGAAAGCCCTCCTTGTTTTGAACAGTTTCAGGGGCCACTTGACCGGCTGCGTCAAGTACCGACTTGCCACTACTCGTACAGACTTGGCCGTCATTTCTGGAGGCCTGACGAGTATGCCACAGCCGCTCAATGTATGCGTTGTTGCGTTTGGCGGGCCACTCTTCTGCCGCGGCTGCCAGAACAGAAGAACGGCAGCCGCCTCATTTTGTGGAGATAAGAAGCAGCGCCAAGACACCCTGCTGTTTCCATGTACAGTGAAAGCTCGTTAATTCGAACCGCAAGGGGAAGCTGCCTCGGTTCGAACTAACGAAATTTCGAACTAATGAAAGTGAAGAACAATAATAGTACACTTAGAATAGGGCATAACAATTTATTTCCTGAAAAAATTAGTGATTGCGGTCTGCCTTCTTTCCTTGAAGGTGACAGTCAGCACTTTTTGCTCTAACGAGCGAATTTGGCGGAAGACCTTTTCTCCGCCTTCTTCAAAACTTAAGAAAAGACGGGCGGCATTCAATTCCGGCCATGACTTCCGCAGCAGAAAGCCGCACTAGTGCTTCGTCCTCCTCCTCATCATCGTCACTGGCAGCGACAGGTTCTGCATTTCTCACCTGACATATTATGTCGCCATCCGTGAGTGCACCACACACCACTGCACTCGAGTCCACATCGACGTAGTCCGCAAAGCAGACGTCTTCCAAAACGTCCGCCATGGGGGCGGTGACGCTGTGTTCGAGCACTGGTGGCTCGTCAGCTTGCAGAGCTTAGGTGCTGGAGCCACAGTGGCGAAACCAATTTGCTATCGTAAGCGCTGTCACTTGCTCCCAAGCACGCACAAGCATCTGTAGTGCACTTAGGAGCGTCATTTGGTAGTTATTGCACAAAATAATTCGTTCCAACATACGATGCTGATAAAATGATTTTTAATTTCTAATTACCGTATTTACTCGCATAATAGGCGCACTTTTTTTTCAGAAAATCCGGCTCGAAGTTAGGGGTGCGCCAATTACGCGGGGTAAAATTTTCGAAATTTTTTCAACTCGGTTCTCGCGCTTTAAATCTGCACACTTGTCAAGTAAAAGGCGACTTTATCGTTTACCAATTAATTCAGCATAAAACAAACATACCTACGTACCTTTTAATGAACAAGCGAGAGCCGTCAACTGCACACACACACGTAAAATTTATTTACGCAAAAGTCGTAGCTGTTCCTCCTTTTCCCTATTCGGAGTCTGAGTCGGAGATCACACATTCATCCTCGCCGAGCGGGGATTCGTTTTCGGTGTCCGAATCATCCGCACCCCACAACATGTCATCCTCACTCGCATCCAGTGCATTCGAGATACCCGTCTTCTTGAAGCTTTTCCTGACGACTTCGTCGGAGATCGCCTGCCACGCTTCCACGATCCAAGCGCACAGCATTTCCACAAGCGGCCTCTTAATCTTACCACCTGGAGTCAGCTGATGTTGTCCTCCAGCCATCCAGGTGGTGTACAACCTTCGAACATTGTCCTTGAAAGGTTTATTCAAGGACACGTCCAAAGGCTGCAGTATCGATGTGAGGCCGCCCGGAATCACTGCCAGATCTGTGCGCAGCTCCTTTAGCTCATCTCGTACGCGGTCTACTAGGTGCCCACGAAAACTGTCCAGGACAAGCATGGACGGCAACAACAGACCACCCGGCCGCCGACCCCAGACTGTTTTCACCCAATCCACCATGAGTTTCGCGCTCATCCAGCCTTTTTCCTGGACTCTGACGTAGATGCCTTGAGGGAATTTTGCCTTTGGGAGCGTCTTGCGTTTAAAAATAACGTAAGGCGGTAGCTTACGCCCATCCGCTGTCACCGCCAGCATTACGGTGCATCGTTGTTTATCAGCGCCAGACGTTTTGACGATGACGCTCCGTGCACCTTTCTCCTCCACTGTCGTGTTCCACGGCATATCAAAGCAAAGGGGGGTCTGATCAGCGTTGCTGATCTGGGACAAAATGAAGTCTTTCTGCTGTCGGAGCTTTATAACAAAACTGTGGAAGTCCACCACTTTGTCCTCATATGCTGCGGGCAAGCGCTGGCACAAGGTGGTCCGCCTTCGCAGTGTGAGGCCATGGCGCCGCATGAAACGAGTTGTCCATCCGGAGCTGGCTTTGAACTCTTTTGCTTCGATGCCCTGCGCTCGGGCTATTCTGCGCGCCTCAGTCTGCACAATATCCAACGACACAGCACAGCCGTCTTGTCGTAGCTCCCGTATATGCCGGACCAGTTGCTCTTCGACGTTCGGATACCTGCCGGTCTTGGCACCGCGGAAAGCCTGTCGTGTCTTCTTCGTCGCCTTAAGTTTTTCTTCTTGGTCCCTCCAGCACCGAATACTGGTTTCTCCAACGCCGAAATGCCTGCTTGCAGCCCGGTTGCCGTGCTCCAGCGCATACTGCACTGCCTTCAGTTTAAACCCAGCCGTGTAGCTCGCGTACTTCCCCATGGTGGAACCAAAGTTCAATACACGACCACAACATACGCACACCGCTTGCAAAATGGCGTTTCTTTCTTTTTCTCTGATGGTGGTGATGGCGATCGAGCCCCCGGCGTTGTACACGTGACCTCCAAAAAGCGCGGCGATTTGGGGGATATCAGTAATTGATGGAACAGCCGTTTTTTTTTTTTTCGCTCATGGACGCTTTTTTTTTTTTTCAAGTTTTATTTCGACAAACACGTTGGTTAGGTCGTTGCACTTCGAATTTTTTTTATTTGCTCGTCGATTTGCCTTCTTTTTCTTCAGGGTACGGGGACCGCGTTCCAATTGTATCGCTGGGGGGTAGAATCGTTTCTGATCACGGCCAAGTTCGGGGTGTGCCTATTATGCGCGGAATTTTCCCCGACCAAACTAGGGGTGCGCCTATTATGCGAGTGCGCCGATTATGCGAGTAAATATAGTATACCCTGGTCTATGGGCTGCAGTACCGCTGTCGTGTTTGCTGGAAGAAAGGCCAGCTCAATGACCTTCGTCTCAACGTTGACTTTATGAGCCGAACAGTTGTCCACAAGAAGCAGGACTTTGCGCCCACAGCGTTCGAACTTCTTGTCAAGCTTCCCCAGCCACTGCGCGAACAATTCCCCCGTCATCCAGGCCTTTTTGTTAGCCACGTAGTCTGATGGGAGGGACCGGATGTTCTTGAAGCAACGAGGACTTCTCGATTTGCCTATCGCAAACGTAGGCAACTTCTCGGTCCCGGTCATGTTCGCAGCATCCATCACAGTTACCCGTTCTTTACTTTTTTTCCCTCTCGTGCAATTGTCGCTTTTATACGTGATAGTTTTGGCGGGCAGCAATTTGAAAGATAAGGCAGTTTCATCCGCATTAAATATATCCTGTGGAAAATACTTCTCCATGTAGCCTTGAAGCACTTCGGGGCACCAACCTTCACACGTTTCGTTGTTGACGACGTTCATTTAATCCGACACAGCACTGAAAACGAGGTCGTAGCACTCGCGAAAACTGTGCAACCACCCATCTAAAGCAGCAAAGTCGTCGTAGTCTAGCTGCAGGGCGAAGTCCGCTGCCTTTGCCAGTATCACTGGGCCACTCAGTGTTATATCCTGCGAACGCATTTACTTTGTTCAAATGAGAAGCGCTTTCTCGAGGTCAAGATACTTTGCGGGCCGCAACCTCCTCCTTTTGCTCGCAACTTCTGCCTCTAAGGCGTCTTCAATAGTTTTCCTATTTATTATATAAGTAGATAGCGTCATTTTCGGTATCCCGTGCTTTTTCGCGATATCTTGCTTAGGCAAGAGTCCGGCGTCCACTTCCCGCAGGATGTCGGCTTTCTCCTGAAGTGTTTTGGCACGGTATTTGCCGCGGGCACACGTCATCAAGTCGGAGCAGCAGAATAGCGACAGACGGGAAGCTACTACCGGCGCTACCGCACCAAACGTTAGCCGAGGCCTAAAAACAACACAAGGAATCGTGACAGTCAAAAGCTACTCTCAGCACCAACAACCGAGGTGTACGACGCACGCCCGAGACAGAGACTGCAGAGAAGGCTGAGCGAAGCTACGACGCACCCGATTTGCTGTGTGCTGATCATGCCATCTGTCGTCTAACAGCGACAACTACACAGGATTTTCAAAGGCTCCGAGATTGGCGCATAAAAAAGATCTTGGAGGTTACGTAAGACAGAGAGCAGGCAGCCGCCGAGAGAGAGAGATTGTGGGGCGAGGGGGGTTAAGAGTAAGTGGCACTATTTTCTGCTCTCTTGCCTTCGTGCCAATTTGTCCGTTTTTCTCTCCGCTCCCTGTCAACGCCACCTCATAACTCGGCAGCAGCCCTATCGAGTGACTAGCCAAGCTGCTGGCGCGGTGGCTCGTAGTTCGAATTATCCGCGGCGAAACCTACTCGCGTTCGAATTAACTAGCTTTTTTATTCGTAGGCTTGTATGGAGCTTGGCCGGACCATAACTTACAGTTCGAATTATCCATAAATTGTAAATATTGAAGTTCGAATTAACGAGCTTTCACCGCACAGTGCGTGGCTGAAATTACTCTACGGAGCACCGCTTTCCTTCGGGTCCGCGCAGAGATGAGACACGGGGGGCGTCTTCGTGCCCCATTAAAAGCCACAATGTTGAGCTTCCGCCGATTACAGACGTCGAACCACCACACTGTGCTTTTCTTACTGATGAGCCGCTAACGCTCAAATCAGTACCAGATGTTCAGGCATGGCCCCTCGGAGGCGCTTAGGCCGCGGTCGTCGTTCGACAGTTTTGGTGGTCGGCGCGAGTGGCGAGATGACAAACACATTTCACCCCGCTCGCTGGAAGCAAGATTTGCCAGAGGAGGCAGCATCAACGAGACCATACACTTCTTTGGTTTGTGTATGTGTGTGCTGCAGGACATGCTATTGGACAGTGTCGTATGGACCTATTCCTCGATCTAAGGTTCTGGAGAGACGGGACTGTATTTAATCAGCCCAGCGCAGGCATCCTCTGGAGGCTCTCAAAATGGGAGCCCTCACGTTTACTTCGGCTACGTCCTGACTCGGCCTTCAAGACGACAGCCTGACGTTAGCAAAGCAAGACAGTCCGTCGAGGTTGACGGTATACATTTCAACAGCGCAGCCACATGAGTGCAGCCATTGTCTAGAGCCTCGTGAAACGGGAGCCCTCACGCCCATTTTGTCTCCGTCGTGACTCGCCCCTTCACGACAACGGCCGGGTATTAGCAAGGCAAGACAGTTCATGGAGGTCAATGACATACATCTCGACAGCGCAGCCACATGAATGCAGGCACCATCTGGAGGCTTGTGAGACAGGAGGCCCCACGTCTACTTCGGCTCCGTCCTGACTCGCCCTACACGACGATGGCCTGAGATTTGCAAGGTTTGGGCGCACACATAGAAAGGAAAACCTCGAAAACTCACCAAACACTCCATGGTATACCTCCGCCCATTGCAAGGTTTTCTTGACAACGACACCTTCCCAATTCGCGAAGCCAGTGAAACAAACTTTTGTGCCAACACCCATCCTGTGGACGCAACCTTCGAAGCAGTAAGAGCAAGGAGTGGGGTGTAAACTGCCCAAACGAAGGCGGCTTCGAGGCTCTCAAGATTAATATTCTGAATTCCGGTCATCCACTCTTGGCCCTTGAAACCACCAGCTGTGTATCTTCCTATTGTTTGAACTTCATTATGACGGTATATACAAGATTCGTGAGGACAGTATGTCCAATTGCTTTGGTAGCATCTGCCTCTGAGGCTTGAAGAGCGAGAAGAGAAATGAAAGCTGTACATCGCCATAGACGTATCAGAGCGAATGCCCCAAGTAACTGCTGCAACCTTAACTACCGCCTGAACCATGAACTACTGAACCCGATGCAAGCCATTTGAAGATTATCAGTGCTCAAAGTGCTTTTGTTTCGTCTCAGAATGGTCATCTGGCGCGTGCAAAATCGTCTTAAATATAGAAGAAAACGACGGCCCCATCTTGGGCATAGGGATCATCATCATGGGGATTAGGTGGCGTCAAAGGGAGGAAAACAGGGTAGCTATGGTGTCGTGCCTATTTCTTTACAGCTTTTAGAAAAAAATCCCCTGCATTTGTTGCTGGAGTTTGTAGCGATACACTAAAAGTTTATAATTAGATTACACTAGGGATGTGCGAATATTTAAAATTCTGAATATTTTTCTAATACTGTTTGCTATTCCACTCTATTTTCACTGCAATTTCGCTATTTGAACTTCCCGAAGATCAATACAGTCAACGTCAAATTAAAAGCGACCCCTTTAGATTTAATATGCCTCACTTCTTTACCCTCTTGTGCTGTGGCAAAGCTCGCTTTCAGTTTTCGTTTCGGCAGAATTTTCTGAAAACAGTCAACATCAGATTGAAAATAGCCCTTTCAGATTTTTATTATGCTTCACCTCATCATGTTCTCGTATTGCAGCAAAGCTGTCTTTTGAGCTCTGCTATGGTCGCAAATGTATTGACTTGAGAAAACACTGGTTCCATCGTAGAGGTGATAAATGTGGCAGATGTGGGGGCTCAGTTAATGCTGACATGGACCCGAATTCGGGCAGGAAGTTCGAAAAACCGGAGGTCGGAGATTTTTAGCATTCAAAATTTCAGGTGATCTTGTATATTGACATCTAGGAGGCAGATTTAGGTCTCCTGACTTCAAGGGGGCACACTTTTCTCTGCCACATCAGTTGAGCTTCCACAGAAGTTGGATGAGGAGGAGAGGCTGAGGAATTGGCACGTTTGCCTTTCACGTGTAAAATGTTCTTGGGGACACTTTGGTTGTACCAAATCATATATGTAAATCTGTATCTCTGGGCATTGCCTCCGTCTCAATAAGACAATCTTGGAACACCACCCTGCCAGCACTTCGATAACCTATGAAAAAGAAACACTTTCTGCTGTCTCATAAGAATATGCTAAGGAATCCTCTCAACTTTTTTTTTTCTGCACTTTCACTTCGAAGTATTCGAAAAATATTCTAGAAATATTAGAAAAATACTCGATTCATGCTCTCATTGAATTATAATTTGCTCCGTACCCAAAATTATTCTATTCGCACAGCCCTAGATTACACACGTAGATCATGAAGGCCAGTTTGTTGATGATTTGACCGACATTTGTTATCAGGGAAGGGGGTGTGAAGTCGTAAAAATAGTTTTCAGGTTTAATTTGTGCAAAGCCTCATTCTTTCAGCGTCTGTGGAAGTGTGTCAGTTGACTAAAGATGACTCCACCACTGCTGCAGTCTGCTTTTTTTTTAATTGTACCACCAGCTTTGCCTCTTTCTAGGTATACGCATCTGAAGAGCATGCATGAAGAGTTGTGAGTGAGAAAGAGAACTGCTAATTTTGAAGGTGCTGGCCTTTGCAGGAGCCCATTCCAGAACCCGCTGAGAGCAGCAGCAGTGACTCTAGAAATGATGCGGGAATGTCACCGCAATCATCGGTTCCACGGTACGAGATGGCTCTTGAGCATTTTGAAAGCGTCGATGAGCTGGGCCAGCTCACGGTGATGCAGATGAAGCTCATGCTGACGCGCAACTTCGTCGACTATCGCGGCTGTTGCGAGAAGGCGGAGCTGCTTGAGAAGTTGAGCTGGCTGTGGCAACAGAAACGCAAGCATCAAGGTATGCTACTGCTGACCTGTCCTTTTGATGAGCATGCCATTACCATTAACCTTGCTGTCATCCTGCTAAGCTTATGGTCACGGATATAGTTCCTGGCCGGGATTGCTGCATTTAAATGTCGGTGGAATGCCACAAAACCTGCTTACTCATATTTGTGTGCATTTTGAAGAGTCGCAGTTGTTTTGTAGCATACTCAAATCTAAATCAAATCACCTCTCCAATCAAGCTCTTATACTTGGGTGAAATTTTATATGCGTAGTTATTCCCTCTCCAGAATTTCATGTTGAAGAGGCAGTGAACCAGCGTACTGCTGTTAAATCTATCAAATATTTTCAATAAATTTGTGGCGATATACTCTGCACATATTCCTGCGCAGCCTCCGCCTCACATTCTTTCAGCTAGACGTGACATGGCTACACGCTGTATCACCTTCCGATAAACTACAGCGCTACCGCGGCATTACCAGAGATATGTGTAACCAGCGGTGGCTACTAAAACAGGCTGCCATAATTGCAAGAGTCTTCCTTCGCTATCCAGATAAGTGTAGCATCGATGTGCTTGCCCACTGCTCTTACTAAGTAAATAAACAGTTATGTTTTCACGTTTAATGTGTCTTTCTGTTCACTCCACGATCCCACAAAGTCTTGATACAATAAAAGCTCATTTATTTGGATATCACTGGATTGAAAGGCATGTCGAAAAGAACCTAATGCAAAATTATTGATAGGATCAAGAAAGCAATAATTAGGTGTCTGTTACATTAATGCATTTTATTTTCTCAATGAATACATGAATTTTGTACTTTGCACAAGATTAGTGTAAAAACTGCTATTTTCGTCATTTTGTGGCTTTGTTCACAATGCAGCTACAGCACCAGATTTGGGTCTTTAGTACCGTAATTACTCGAATCTAATGCGCACCCTTTTTCCGGTTAAGAGAGTTCATGAATCGCATGCGCGTTAGAATCGAGTACGAAAAAAAAATGAATACGGTCATTCTATTGCCATCGGTATTCCAAAATGGCCTCCCCCTATGTGCGTCGGCATGGCGCGTCGGCCATTTCTGCCTATGTGTTTCCCATGTGTGGCACTTCGTACGTGTGTTGAGGAGTTCATCATCTTGTTAGTGCATTAGCATCGACGGGATAGAAGGGCCGACTCCAAGAACTCCACGAGTGCACCACGATGCCGCTTTTAAAAGAAAAGTCATCGCGTGTGCCGAAACGGACGGAAACCGGGCCGCATCGCCATCGTTCGGAGTTCCCAAAACGTGCGTGCGGGACTGGCGAAAACAAAAGCAGAATATTGTCGACAGCAAAGATTCACGCAAAGGATGAAGGTAATGATGTGCAAGGTCAACGCAGTGTCGCTTAGGTCGGCGAACTCACTCACGATTCGACCCAACTGAGACTCACTCAGATTCAGACCAACCCTTGAGTGTGGGTGAGCCCGGGTGAGCAATATTTTAAGTAGTCTGCGTCAGAGTGTGTCCAGTTGAGGAAATTTTTCGCGAATGCGAGTCTGGCACAGAAAACTTTTCGCGAGTCTATGTCCCTGTGAGCTTGATTTTTTGCTGCCGACCTACGCTTCCTCGTTGTTTATCTGTAAATATTTATTTTGATTTTTTGGCATGAGGATTTTGTGGCACTTCATACTCTGCGCACTTCACGTATCATCCAAATTCAATGGGTTGTGGCCACATGTAACCAAACTGATGAGAGTTTGAATTATATGACCGAATCATATTTCTGCCAAAGTATGCGGTGTTACATGCTGTAGAAACAGCTCAAATTTCAAACTGAAGGTTTCTTGCCCATTTTCGTGTTAGCACCATAGTTCAAGATGAAATTGGTGAAGTAGAATACCAAGGGTGCCAGCATAGGTACAGTCGAATCTCGATAATTCGATCTCAAAGGGGCACAAAAATTTGTTCAAATTAAGAAAAGTTTGAATTAATAAAAGCCTAATAAACGGAGGGCTCTCCGTGCAGTGGCGCATGTGCATTGAGCTAACTCACGAGGGGGAAGTTTCAGAAGACTTACATTTATTCACAAATCACAGGACATCCGTTATTAATTGAAGTAATTGGTGATGCGCGTCTGCACACGTTTGCCTTGCAGCGAGTCAATCAATTTCGCATGCAGCTTGCAAGGCCTTTCTACTTCGGCTTCAGCATTCTTCTGGCAAGAGAAGTTGCGCGCGGAAATGTCCAGCGCCGACACTTTCTAAAGACGATGACAACGACTGCGTAGCGGAGCCTCCCGCTCTCCGCTACGCAGCCGCAGCATGGCCAGCAGAGAAGCAGGTTGGCATTTCAGAGAAAACCAACATTCCACGGCAGCTTTTTTTTTTTTTTTTTGCTCACTTCCTGCACGTTGTTGAAAGGAAAAGTGTTACGTGGCAGGGAAGGGAAAGGGAAGCATGGCACCAGTGCGTGAGACCCCCCCCCCCCACCTCAAGGCGCAGAGCCGTGCTCCCGCAAGGGGCAAGGGCTGCAGAAGATAGTGCCTTTTTCCTTTCCTTCAACCACACACTCATTCAACCCAGCGACAGCTTTCTTTTTTTAAAGGCGATAGTCTTTCTTGGGGACCTTCAATGCACAATATTGGTCTGTCTGTAAATTTGTCTGTTTGTCCACTCTTATTGCGAATCGGGTACTTTAGACAGCACCAGCCGATACCCCTATCCGCAGCGCCCACCAATGTTGCTCTAGATTCAGCATTCATACTTGTGCAATTGTTGATTAAAAAGCAATTACTGCACATATCTGAGGCACCATAACAACACGTATATATTCTGCATGTGCGTCTTTTACCAGAAAAGGCATACATAAGTAATTATAAGGACCGTAGCGTTTATCACGCTGCACTGACCATGCAACGCTTGCAGGAAAAGGCGAGTGTTTTCAACACTTTGCTAAGACGACACGGTGGTGGCACCTACCCGCCGTCTTGCGCTCTACACCTTATCACCTCTGAGGCGGGCGCACACGCCCGTCTCAGGGCCGCACGCTTTCGTTTTCCAAAAAAATGCCACATGGTGCTCATGTCTCACGTGTGACGTGACTTGAAGCGCTCGTTCGCCTCCGCTGCACGCTTGAAGCACTCTTAACGCAGCACCTCCAGAATACCATTCACAAATTTTCTTGCCCAGAACATCAAATAAATCTTTTGTTCACTTTCTCCACACGCGAGACTATCGTCTTTCGAGGACATTTGCAGATTAACATGCTGATACGGGGCCAATTTTTTTCCTCTTTTTCTTCGCGCGCGGTGTTAGAAATAGAAGGGTTTTTACGTGGCATGGACGGAAAAGGGAGAAGCGTGACGTGGGCACGTCGCAGATCAGCATTTGAGAGAGAGCAAACATTCCACCGCAGCCTTTTCTTACCTTTTCATTTCTTTCGTGGGCAGCGTTGAGGTGTCGCAGGAGCCGCCGTGGGATTGGGGGGGGGTGCTGAGAGCATTTTTGAAGCGCTGTATGTTCGAATTAACCGTTGGAAGTGCTTAGGCATTCGAATTACCGGGCGTTTTCACCCGTTGGAATACGCATGGTTTTGACGGGACCTCATTGTGAGTTTGAATTAACCGCAAGTTTGAATTAAGTGTGTTCGAATTAATGAGATTCGACTGTATTAGCAACATCTCTAGAGCCGATTCAGTTTCAAAGCTCTTCACGTGCTGGTACAAGCACTCGTCGCTGGTGCAGGCACCTGTCCACATAAATCAGTTTTGCCATGGTTACTTTGAATCACGTGCTGCCATGGCTAGCTTTCACGCACACTTCCATACTAAAGAGTGCAATAGTGGCAATCCTGATTGTCATTACATGTAAAAGAGTAATCTGGGCAGAACTGTCATCATTGGTAAAAAGGAAAGTCTGTTGGTTCTGCTGGTAGTGAGTGAAGATCGAACAGTAGCACTGCGTAGGTTATTGGCCACCCAGTGACGCAGGGCAAGCGCTGAGGCTGGCACAGTAGTAATACTTATGCAACGCTATACAGAACCTTCCTTTTTATTCTAATTTTAATGCAGTGATGTAATGTTGTAACTTGGTGAAACGGCGCTTCTGTGTCCATTTTAAGAGTGCATGCACGAGAAACCACATGGCTTTACTTCGTGTGCTTCAGAGTGAATGAAAGTCCAGTTGTAGTTTTAGACGCGTGGTGCTTAGTTCGGCCTAGCCACATGTACCAAAAATGTCATACGTGAATGCTTGAGCCTCAGTAAAACTCACATTTTTTAGAGCATGTCTTTGTGATTTGTTTTTGAGTAGTGCTTATTCAAGAACATTATGTTGGTTTTAGTTTCAGCCATACATTAGCTGTCAACTCAAGTCATTGTTCTCAAAAGCTTCGTTTGTACTGTTCTGGTGCAGGAGATGCACTGTGTGAAGAGGATATGTGCAAAATCTGTATGGAAGGATGCGTGGACTGTGTGATCCTGGACTGTGGCCACATGTGCACATGCACGGGATGTGGAAAACAGTTGAGCGAGTGCCCCATCTGTCGCCAGTTCGTCGTGCGTGTCGTGCACGTGTTCCGTGCGTGACCCCAGTGCAGACGGAAACGACATAAAGCACCTGACAATATGCTGTGGTTCGGCAGTGATATATGCCGAAGCGCAAGCACTCGCAAGGACACTAACAGCAGAGTCATCATTTCTGAAAGGGACAAACTTTCTCGTTGATCAAAATTTTAATTCAAGTTGGTGTTGGAACTGCACAAGTTGTTACTGCCCAGGAGGTAGACCTCCTGATAGCAGTTATAATTCTACCCATGATTAATGTTAGTTTTCATTCAGACAAACAGCAGCAGTGCTTTAAATGCATTTCTTGATGACAACGAGGGCAGGCACACCATCACTCTCTATGCTATCAGGCAGTAGAAGCTGGTTGCGTAGCCACATTTCTGTGGGCTACCATCCTATTCTCCCATTCAATTACACAGCTCTAAGGTGTTTTCACTTGTTTCATTGGTTGCCTCTTCTGGTCGGCCAGCCAGTGATTGTGGTGGCAAATCAGCACTCTGGAATGGTGAATGCAGACTGTGCACCCTTATGTACATGCTCTTGGTGCCTATGCTCTTGGTGCTGTGCTACTGCTTTCCTTGATTTTATTGTGATTTTGTGCAATATGAAGAGGAATGCCTAAGGTAAATAAGTAAAAACAAGTGAAATGTTCTTTTACTGTGTGGATGCTTCGCTTTATTTTGTGACTTGCATTGCTGTCTACCTGGCAAGACACAAGTCAGCCATTCTAGTGTGTTCAGTTACTGGAAACTGCAGAGTTTTTCACTCTGTTACTATTTGCAGTCTGCTGGAGTCATTAAGCATGCATGGAATGGTAATGATGGCTAGGTTTTACTATCCTAGCCTTTGTGATTTTGTGGTTCAGTAACATAAAATGTGACAGGCAAGATGTCTTTAGCGAGTGTAATTATGGTAATTGAAAGTATGCATTAATGCATGTGTGTAAAGAAGTAATATTTCCGATTACCCATTTGCTTTGTAAAGAGATGCTGAAGCTGCTTAGCATAATGGAATGCCTTCGGGTATTTAGCCATTTTTTTATTTGCACTCAAGTATAGTTCCTTTTGAGGTTTGTTTGTTTGTCTGCTGCAGTTGCCCATAAGACTGCAAATTTATATATAGCTGAAATACTGTAAAGTTACAAAGAGCTTATTTTTGTGTTGATTCTTCCTTTTCATTGTTTGTCAAGTGATAATTGACTTTCACTTGAACTTTTTGCAGACATGTCTTCATTTGAATATTTACTGCACCTAGAGACACGGAATCATGGCATAAACAGTGTTGATTTATCTGAAGCAGCATGAATGCTTCATTGCCCCGCCGTGGTGGTCTAGTGGCTAAGGTACTCGGCTGCTGACCCGCAGGGCGCAGGTTCGAATCCCGGCTGTGGCGGCTGCATTTCCGATGGAGGGGGAAATGTTGTAGGCCCGTGTGCTCAGATTTGGGTGCACGTTAAAGAACCCCAGGTGGTCTAAATTTCCGGAGCCCTCCACTACGGCGTCTCTCATAATCATATAGTGGTTTTGGGACGTTAAACCCCACATATCAATCAATCAATCAATGAATGCTTCATTCAAAGAATGTTCCCATTCTCCTTTGTAAAAACATAGTGCATTAATAACAGTGTTGGATTGTAGGGCTATTGCAGCTTTGTAACCTTAGTTGAAGCAGCACACTGTGTGACGATTAAATGTAGATAGAGAACACTTACGAAGAAGTGCTGTTTGTGGTAGCAGTGCTTCATGATGTGCTTACTCTTTTCATATTTCATTGTCATCCTATGCGTTGTTTTATTCTCGGCTACAAAGTGTGCGAACTCGGAAGTTGGTAGGCTCCTAAGGTGTTTATGAGAGCTGATACTTGCATTTTATTGTCTATCTTCATCTGTAGTCAATGATACACTGCATAATTACAGTGTAGCATAATGAATTCATACCTGGCTAGAGTTCAGCATAACTACGTGCTTTAACATGCATTGATCGGTAACTTCAAATTTGTCCTTTCCTGTGCTACAACCAATAAAAAAATGGGATGCCGCTACACTTGTGTAAAATGCACAATGGGGCAGTATCTTTTTTTTATTTCTTTTCCTCTCGACTCTGTGATAAGCAGTTCCAGCTCTCACACCTGACGGTATAATAGATTATAGGCAATGCAAAACAGCATATTCAAAATGGTAGTGGCACACGTTACTTATTAAAGCAAAGAATAAATTTTTTTAGCATTTCCTTATATGCATTTTTATTCATCTAAGAGTTAGACGAACAAAGAACCGTGTGAACTAGGGAGTGTGAACAAGGAACCTGTACGAGTCCCAAAATGTCTCTGGTTTTTTTCACCTTGACTTGGCCTGTGATCGCATCCACATCATCGTATCTATACTACATGGTTGTACAGCACTCTTTTGAGTGAACTGTACTTGCATCTACGGCGGGTTCATCTCTGCTTGGAATCTGTATCCTTCTGCTCAGATGCGCATAATGCAAATTCATGAGAATATCTGCACATTTGTGCCACTTTTATAGGTGAATGTGATGCACAATCTCTGTATGCAAAGGACCTAGACAAGTAGCACATATGTTTTGTTGGAAGCATGCAGGAAGTTTTCAATGGTATTGTGTAAATAACTGAAGGTGCTCACGATAAGTTTGTGGCAGTAGGTCATATAAGTGTGGTCATTGGTGGTCATGTTCCTTGCTGAAGCTACCATGAACCTTTACATCTTACTAGTACTCAACTATGGAGTGTAAAGTCTGGTTGCTTAAGAAAAGTTCAACTTGAACAAAGGACGATGCAGTAGGCTATGAAGAAAAAACAGGTGTAACCTTAAGGTACAAGACGAAGGATGAGTGAGTTGGAACAAACAAGTATTAGGGCCATTTTAGTCAAAATCAAGAATAAGAAATGAGCATCGGCAAAGCATACAGGGGAGAGGTAAGATAACCGCTAGTCATTAAGAGTAGGGATTTACATCCCAAGAGAATGTAAATGTGCCAAGGGGAGGCAAAAAGTTTGTTGGGCGGATAAGATCAAGAAATTAGGTGGAAATAGTATGGGTATTGGAAGCACAGGGCTGAGTAGATTGGCGCAACACAGGAGAGGCCTTTGCCCTGCAGTGTGCATAGTCGGGCTGATGATGATGATAATGCATTTCTTGGAATATGGAAGGCCTACTGCAGCAGCATCAGCCACCATGGAAGTTGTTACAGTACAGCTAACTTCAGTGAACTGATAGTGTTATGTACACACGGTTTTTGGCTTGCATGTGATGAGCTACTATGGTTTGTCAGCAATGAGGCTCTTGGACACAGAGTTGAGAATGCTATTACAAAGATGTTAGAACTCCTTGCACGTTTTGTATAATTTCATATCAGTACGGTGTTACTGAATTCTTTTAGTGAGAAGCGCGGTATATTTGCGTGTTCTGGAAGTTACGTCTTCACGTGACCAGAACATCAGTTTCAACCCTAGAAACCCACAAAGCTAATCTATAAAATTGCACGATGCAGCTCACGGAGCACCAACATTTGCTTTCCTATAGCATTGCCATAAACATATTTCAACAATCGCAATGTTGAGGTCCAAGTGAAAATTCACGAACAATGTTCTGTGCACCTCATTAGCACTGATACTCACTTACGTGCGAGTCCAGTTTTAACATGCCAAATAAAAATAACTTGCTTTCCATTTCTACAATGGACCACAGCCGACAGCAGTAAATTGGGTATATGCGTGCTTACTGTTTTATTTGCATTTCTTTCAATTTTGATGCAAGTTTTAGATGCGGAATTATGTGTTGTCTCCAGAGCATAGAAGCTTTCATAAAGTCTGTTGATATATTTTAAGAATTTTTATTGAGATAGTTGCTTCGTGAGACTACTTATAGTGCATATGCTAGCAATTTTGCAGGGCAGATTTGCTAGAGAGAAAAGATTTGTTTCTGGCTGCATTGTAGAACTATATTGTGTAATGAGAGTAGTCAAGCATGGTCGTGGCTAAAACTGGAATTTGATAAAAACAACTCTTCATTCTAGCTGACACTGTAACCTCCTATTAACCTCTGCAAAAGAAGAGCACCTATCCACTCAAATACCCCTGAATGAATGCAAACTACTTGAAAGTGTTCAACTGTTTAAGTGGGGACATAGGTCTTTAGACCAGAAAAGTCATCAGAAAAATGATACTTTGAAGATGGAATTCTTGACTAGCATTTTTGACAGAGTGGTGAGCTCCAGCCCCTTTGTCATGCGGGTGCATGTACGTTGGGCAGAAGGGATGTTGCCTCAACGTCTGTCTAAGGGAGCATGCTAGCTCTCAAAGGTACACCAGCTACCTATCTTGCCCTCCATTGCCGGCAGTGCGGCTGTGCAGCCGAGTTTAACAAGACCGCTGTGTTGATGAGGCATAGAGACCAGCGCATGCTTGAAATTGCTGAAGCATAGGAAATCACAAAAAGCAGGAGATGGGTGTGTGAGCCAGCCTTCAATTACTCTCACAGATGCTGAGATTTAATATCTACAGCATACTTGATGACATGCTTGGTGGGCGTTGTCAAGATTTTTTATGTCTTCATGTTTGCATATACTATATGACACGTTTCTTCCAATAAGCTTTCAGTTGTTAGACAGCGCTAGTGTTGTGCACTTTCTTGTGTTTCTGTGTGCTGATCATATTGAGTATATTACGACTAGCCCAATTTGGCACTTTATCATTTTTGAAATCCGCATCTACTCAGGCCCTCTTTATCTACGAAGTTTCCCACCTGGGAGGTTAATATTTTAGTTGTAACATCAAGTTATAGCAGTATGAGGCCTGATATTTTTTTTTTTTTGCCTGGGTTGATGCTAACATAACATATTCAATGATGCCACACTTGCATTTTGCTGAGGGTCTGCTATTTGTAGCCAAGTGATATTTCACAAGTGTGCATATGCACACACATTTGTACTTTTCTGTAACGACATGAAGCAAAGAGGTGGAAAATTAAGGGCTCGTTCTTATTTATTTGACACAATAATAATAAAAACTGACAAAGATGGCACCATTGTCTGTTACTTCTCATTAATATTTTGTCCTAAAAAACTGTCACATTTATTATTTTTATTTTCTCGGAGTTTTAGTTTTGCACACAGCAAGACATTTACTGTGCTATTGCCAGTGGCTATCGAAGCTAAAACGAAAATTTTTTTGCACCATGAAGCTGCGAGTTTGAAGCACGTAACATAGCAAATTTTAATTAGTTTGGCTTCAAGCTTTTTAAAGCCTGCCTTTTGTGGAACCACTACATGATCAAGCTCTCAACAGTGGGGTTTAATGCACTGTAAAGTAAGAAATGATGCAGTCATAAAAGTGCTCCCTTTATTGTGAGCTTTGTGCTTTCCCCTATCAATCGAGATGTCATTGGCATATTTTCGTGAGCTGGTTATTTTTTTGATGTAAAAACAGCTGATATTCGTAATACATAATTAAGTAATGAACCTACAGAAAAAACTGCACTTAGAATTGAAGCTAAGCAAGCATGCCAGTTCTTGCCTAAAAATAACAGGAGAGCTGTAATTTCTTAAAGATAATAAGGAGCGTAACAATCTGGTGCACGTGATGGTACTGCTGTGCAACGGCACAGTTACTAGAGCAAAGCGTGCATCGATAAAGTGGAGGCCCTGAGTTAGGGTCACACCTTTCTCTTGCCACATGCAAAGCCCGTCTTTGTGAAAACATAAACAGTAGGCTTTTATTTTCGCATGTATAAATGCACCAACAACAGAAGAGACGATATGATGAGTGCCACTTGTATAATGCTGCTTCCGTGTATATGTATAATACACACATATATGTATATATATATTTATATAACTTGCAATATATGAATATTTATATTATGCATGTAGAAGACAGAGAGAGAAAGAGATTGATCGTGTAGAAATAGAGAAGTACAACATAATCTGCGCGGCAGTGTGATCACAGAGCATCGTCACCGGCAAATGTTTTTCGTCGTGTTGGTGGCTGAATGACGCCCCTCTTTTCTTTGGTGGTCCCAGCAGGAGCAGGGTTATTGCGATCCGCACTGGGCTTTGCGTTCTGCTTCCTGTACCTTTGTCTGTGTGTGTGTGTCTGCGGTGTGTGTTGTGTCGCGGTCTGCTGTCCGCTGGTCCCGCGTTTCGCTGACGGCGGCAACAGCGACATCTGCGCCGAGGCGACCCGCGCGTGCTGAGTTCGCACCGCGCGCACTGTGGTTGGCACGTGTCCCACTTTTTGGTGGCTGGCCGCCAACTGCTACTACTGCTGGACGGCTGTGGCC